CGGAACAAGAGACATAGTCCAAACCTGAATCGTGGCAGAAGATAACAGAACTCGGCTCACCGCCGTGTTCGCCGCAGATACCGACTTTGAGATCTGGTCGAGTTTCGCGCCCTCTGTTCGTGCCGATCTGTACCAACTGACCAACGCCACGCTGATCCAGCACCTGGAACGGGTCATGTTCAAGGATACCGCCATCCACATAATCGCCGAGGAACTTGCCAGCATCGTCGCGGCTCATCCCGAAGGTTGTCTGTGTGAGATCGTTCGTCCCGAAGGAGAAAAAATCCGCCTCCTGCGCGATTTCATCCGCGGTGAGCGCGGCTCTCGGTAATTCGATCATCGTCCCGACAAGGTATTCGACCTCAGTGCCTGTCTCCTCAAACACCTTCTTTGCGGTATCGACGACCACCTCACGCTGCAGTGCTAGCTCCTGCACATGCCCAACTAGGGGGATCATAATCTCAGGGATCGCCTTAACGCCGCGTTTGGTGACCTCGACAGCCGCCTCAAAGATTGCTCGTGCCTGCATCTCCGTGATTTCCGGATAGACGATACCGAGACGACATCCACGATGGCCCAGCATCGGGTTAAATTCGTGCAATGCTTCCCTTTGCTGGTACAACGTTTCAGCGGGGACACCGATTTTATCCGCAAGCTCCTGGACATCCTCATCGGTATGGGGCAGGAACTCATGGAGCGGTGGATCGAGTGTCCGAATTGTGACAGGATAGCCGTCCATCGCCTCAAAGATACCGATAAAATCCTCACGTTGGTACGGAAGTAGTTTGTCGAGCGCTGCCTTGCGTCCTACCTCATCCTTTGCGAGAATCATTTCGCGGACGGCATCGATCCGCTCGCCTTCAAAGAACATGTGCTCGGTACGGCAGAGACCGATCCCCTCCGCGCCGAACTCTCTCGCGGTCCTTGAGTCGCTTGGGGTATCTGCGTTTGTGCGGACCCCAAGTTTACGGAACTCATCCGCCCACTCCATGAGCGTGCCAAAGTCACCACTCAGTTCAGGGTCAATCAACTGAACAGCTCCCTCAATCACCTCGCCAGTTGACCCATTAAGCGTGATGTAGTCTCCCTCTGTCAGCCGAAGTCCGCCAGCCTGAAACTCCTTCGATGCTTCATTGACGATGATATCACTGCACCCCGCGACACAGCATTTTCCCATACCCCTCGCGACAACCGCAGCGTGTGAGGTCATCCCGCCACGCGCCGTTAAAATGCCTTCTGCGGCGTGCATTCCGCCGATATCCTCTGGAGATGTTTCAGTGCGGACCAGAATCACCTTTTCACCATCAGCCGCGAGTTCTTCGGCACGATCCGCTGTGAAGACCACTTTACCCACAGCAGCACCGGGTGAGGCAGGCAGCCCCTTTGCAATCGATTCCACCGCTACCGCAGGATCGATCATCGGGTGGAGGAGTTGCTCCAGATCATCCGGTGGGATGCGGGTCAGAGCGGTTGCTTTGTCAATGAGACCTTCGCTTTACCATTTCAACGGCAGTGCGCACGGCAGCGGCACCGGTCCGTTTGCCGCTACGGGTTTGGAGCATATAAAGATGCCTGTCCTGAATCGTGAACTCGACATCCTGCATATCGCGGTAATGCGCCTCTAGGGTGTCCCCAATCCCCGTCAACTGCTCATAGGCTGCCGGCATGACCCCCTGAAGTTCATCGATGGGGAGTGGCGTGCGAATCCCTGCCACAACATCTTCGCCTTGGGCATTCATCAGAAATTCGCCGTAAAAAGAGTTCTCGCCGGTTGACGGATCCCGTGTGAACGCGACTCCGGTCCCCGACGTTTCGCCCATATTCCCAAAAACCATCGCTTGGACGTTGACCGCCGTCCGTCCGAGTTCTTCAGAGATGTTGTTCAATCGACGGTAGATGGTCGCCCGTTCATTGTTTGACGATTCAAAGACCGCGTCACGCGCCATGTCGAGTTGCCGACGCGGTTCATCGGGGAAATCTGCTCCCGTTTGCTCTTTGACGAGTGCCTTGAACTCAGAAACCAACTCTGCCAGATCGTTCGCATCTAAGTCCGTATCAAGCGTGACGCCTTTGGCTGCTTTCTTCGCTTCCAAGAGATGCTCAAACGCCTCGTGTTCGACACCAAGCACGACATCCCCGAACATCTGCACAAATCGGCGATAGGCGTCGTAGGCGAAACGTTCATTCCCAGATTTTGCAGTCAGCCCCTTGACCGCATCGTCGTTCAAGCCGAGATTGAGGATGGTGTCCATCATACCGGGCATCGAAACCGCCGCTCCAGATCTTACAGAAACGAGCAGCGGATTTTCGGTGTCATCGAACCTCGCATCCATCGCCGCTTCTAGCTTTCTCAAATTTTCATCAATCTGTTCGTCTAGTCCATCGGGATACTGGTTATTGTTTTCATGGTATAGCTTACCAACCTCCGTCGATATCGTGAAGCCGGGCGGCACCGGAATACCTAAACTGGTCATTTCGGCGAGGTTGGCACCCTTACCACCGAGCAGGCTTCTCATCTCCGCGCTGCCGTCGGTTTGATCGCCGCCAAAGAAGTAAACGTGTTTATCTTGAGCCATTCAAGACCTCCTTAAAAGAATAATGCGTAACGAGTAATACGTAAGAGACTATCTATACAACCATCGTCACTTCGTCCTCAGGATTATCATTTCCTCAGTCAATATGATTAACACAAAGATTGAACAAAGAAAATCCCTCCACGAAGGGAGGGATACTTGTAAATGAACCTACCTGCACATCAGTTAGGCGAACCACTGCTGTGATACCGAAAGGGCTAGTTATTCTCAGCACCCTCATTGATCCAATCAATGATGAGTTGGATCTGGGCTGCCTCCAAGGGTGGACCTTCAGGAGGCATCTTGCCCTCCGCAATCTCTTCCACCATTTCGCTCTCCATCGCATCGCCTGCAATAACGATAGCACCTTCGTCTCCACCCTTTATGACGCTATCATACGTGCGGAGATCAATATCGTGGGGACCATCAACGACATGGCACTTTGCAATGGCGCATCGGTTTGTCAGGATGGGGGCAATATCAGCGTTAAAAGAGGGACTTGGTCTACCAGCATCCACAGGATTGTCAAATACCAAGCCGAGTTCCTTGATAGCACTTCCACATCCAAACATGAGTCCAGCGATGAGTACAAACACTGTTCCTATTTTTACTGCATACCTAGGCGTCATTTTCTTACCTCCATAGCGAGAAAGCTTTTAACAACAGGCGGCATCATAACGAATGTAACAGTTTGCCAGCGCATCTGAGGAAAACTTATTAGGGTAGGTTATAATCCTTCTGTAGGCTGACATCACTTCTTTTGGGTGGCGGTGGCAATCGGTTATGAAGTCGAATCTCACACTAAATCGAATAAATCATCCGGCTGGCTTCTTCATATTCGGCTTGTAGGGGATCCGTGGAAAGGAAGAGTTTTTGGTAGGGTTCGTAAAGTTGGATATAGCTCCAATTAACACCGCACAGAATCTTTCGCTCATTTGCCAGCTTTACAAAACGACCGCGGAACTTTGCACGGGTGGTTTCCGGTGGGTGGTGCATCGCATGCTCAATCGCGTCATCGCTGACAATTCGTTCAACGTGCCCCTCTTTTTCAAGCTTGTAATACAATCCTAACTCGGGCCGAATATTGTGGTACTGTAGGTCAAGCATCAGAACCTTGGCGGAGTTCCACTTGAGTTGTCGACTTGCCACATAGGTTTCAATCAATTTCTTCTTGATGACCCAATCGAGCTCTCGGTCAAGCTGCATCGGATCGGTTTCCAAACAGGTCAGCACATATTCCCACCGCGCCATAATCTGATCGGTGACTGGATCCGATTCTGCCTGCTCGAAATACTGTTTGGCGCATTCAAGTATTCCCACTGCATCTCGACGCCTGAAAGCCGTTTACCGTTTTCTAATTCGATTTTACGGGTGCAGGTGATATCCTCTGAGATCTGCTGAATCGCCCGGACGGAATCGCGTAATGCGAGACGCTGCTTGATAAAGTTATCCTCGATCATCCGCAAGATGATTGCCGTCGTACCGATCTTGAGGTAGGTAGCGAACTCCGACATATTGGAGTCACCGACGATCACGTGCAGTCGCCGATACTTTTCTCGGTCCGCATGCGGCTCGTCACGCGTGTTGATGATGCCCCGTGCCGTTGTCGTTGCAATTGAGATTTCTTCACGGATATGTTGCGCCCGTTGGGAGATTGCGTATCCGCCCCGGTTGGTGGATTTGACTTTCCCCGCCCCGGCAAAGACTTGGCGCGTCACAAAGAAGGGAATGAGTTGCGAAGCAAGTTGGCGAAAACTCACGCGGCGATCCATCAGGTAGTTCTCATGGCAGCCGTATGTGTTACCGGGCGTATCGGTATTATTCTTGAAAACCGAAATCCGTCCAAGAAATCCATCGGCTTGCATTTTCCGCTCTGCCGCAACAGAAAGCCGCTCGATAATCCGCTCGCCGGCTTTATCATGACTGACGAGGTCGCTCACGTCATCACATTCAGGCGTCGCATATTCGGGGTGGCAACCGATGTCCTGATAAAATCGAGCACCGTTCTCCAGAAAAACATCTGGATACATCCGTCCAGAAATGATCTCGCGAAAGAGATACATTACTGCATTTTGGATTGATAACGCTTTACCACCGCGCCGATCCGACGTGCAGATGATCCCATATTCGTTTTCCAGACCATAGATCCTTCGGTTCATGCGCTCAAATCTCACTCAGTTCATCGGGGAGCAAACGTCTAAATTTGCGCCGATTTCGAGTTTCGTCGAGTACGGCTGCTTCTATTGTCTCAGCCGTCACTTGGTATCGTTCTCGCTTCGTCGACCTCTGCTTCGATCGTTTCAAAGGTCCTTGCTGCGAGTCTCACAGCACCGTTCAAATCCAAATCGTCGCTATACTGATTCTCAAGGATGCCTGCGATTTCGTCTGCCCTCCCGCCGATGACGGTATATTCATTGTCTTCCCAAAACGTACCATCAAAAGACAGATGATAGATTCTGTTGTCCGACGAAGAATCTTCGCGGATCTCGCATAGGAGAATTTCCACTTCAAGCGGCTTCGCATCGGGTTGTCGATATATTGCACCAATCTGCTGCGAATACTGATTTGCGAGCCATCGCGCCGTAACATCTTCACGGTTGAAAGTAAACCCTTTGATTTCGGCACCTTGAATCCCGGCATATCGTAGGGCTTCGTAGTCAGGATAGAGTCCAGTTGCTGCAAGTGCGATCCGATCATAGATTTCCGAGATCTTGAAGACCGTCGCCAACGGATTTTCTGCGACCATCAGAATACCATAACGGTATTCTAGAACAATAACCTCTTTTGCCTTCTCGATCCCCTTCCGAGCAAAATCCTCTTTTTCCTGCATGATTTGCTCGGGCGACACGTAATACGGTGCGGGCATCTACTCCCCCCTCAAATTGCAGATGTCGTTATCAGTAACCCTCAAAGCTGCTCCATCGGGATTCAATTGCGGAGTCTGTCAAGTAGCTCGGTGTAGAATTCCTTGACATCTGCATCCGGTATATCTGAGATTCCCGTTGAATCAATAACCTTAATTGTTGGGAATATCTCCCGAATAAAATCCGGTCCCCCTGTAGCCACATCTTCATCGGCAGCATCCCAGAGCGCCTCGGCAACTAACCGCAAGGCACTATCGCGGGACATATCGGGGCTATACAACTTTTTCAGTGTCGATTGTGCATCCTTACCGCCGGATCCGGTTGCATAGTATTCGCTTTCTTCGTATTGCCCCCCTATTGCGTCGTATTTGAAGATCTTTGCCTGTTTCCGTTTGAAGTCATAGCCCACGAAAATTGGAACTAACCACCAATCCTTGCAACGCCATAGGCAAGTTGGATTTGACCATGTTTGACAACGAGTTGGCTTTACCCTCTAGGCTTAACGGCGAGCCTTCTATCTTTTCATAGAACTCCACCTGGACCTGGAAGAGCTTTGCCATTTCCATTGCTGGTCCTGCGACACCTGCAATAGCGATAGCCGAATAGGTATCCACCTCATAGACTTTCTGGATACGCCGTTCCCCCACTTGAAATCCCGCCGTTGCCTGACGGTCTCCGGCGATGATAACCCCCTCGTTATAAACAGCAGCTAATATAGTTGTGCCTTCAAGCAGGTTATCATAAAGATTCATCAAACCGGGAGTTGGCACGCGTTGTCCTTTCCAGCTTGCAGCGGGTGAGTCTGGTAGGGGCGTTGTACCAAAAGCCCCTGTACCAAACCTTGATAGAAGCTCCGGGCGTTCCCTTTGCAGAAGCTCAAGGAAATCGGAGGTTCTATGATCGGAGCCGCTAAAGACCACTACTCTCCTCCTCGTTGGATGTAATTCTCGACAAATTCTTCTGAGTCTTCTTCCAAGATTTCGTCAATTTCATCAAGGATTTGATCGAGATCTTCTTTAATCTCTTCGCCTTGCTCTACGACTTCTTGATCCGGTTGAACTTCCTCAGTATCCTGAGTCCGTTTGTCTCTTTGTTCCTGTTGCTTTTCGGCTGGCATGTTGCTTCCCTCCTTCTAATGGTTGGATGTAAGAATGGCTTGAACCAGTTCTGCAGCCGTGCAGTCTCTCAACAGATCGCCAGTCATCTCCTGCGTTCCGAAGTGCGGCCGATCCATTAAGATTTTATCTAAAGAAGAGTCGTCAGTACAAAAAATCATTGAATTCCAGCTCGCGCTGTGAATCTCGTTGGGATATTTTTGTAAACACATACCACGAAAATAGGCACGTGTATCAACAGGTGGATTGTTAATCGCTTGAACAATCTCCTCATGTTTGAGGAGCCGTTCAACACGTCCATTTTTCAGCAACCTCGCGTAAAGCCCCTTATTCGGGCGGATATCGTGATATTGCAAGTCTAACATCCGAGCTTGGTGATCTGAATGGGCTAAATTGTGGCGTCGCAGGTACGCATCAATCAGCCGTTTCTTAATCACCCAATCGAGGTGTCGATCCAGGCTCATCGGATCCTCGTCGAGGCGGTCGAGAACAAATTCCCATGTCTTCATCACATCGCGCACTACCTCAGACAAATCCTCCGTGGGAATATGCTTGTGAGCTAACTCAAGATATTCGCGCTGAACCTCAATGGGTGTCCATTTCCGACCATCCTCTAAAACCACAGGTTCTTTACAGGAAAGATCGCGTGATACCGTCTTGATTGCCAAAACAGGGTCAGAGAGTCTGAACTGATCCCCTACAACACCCAGCTCGATGAGCTGCAGCACAACCGCCGTAATTCCCATCTTCAGATAGATGGAAAATTCAGACATGTTGGAATCGCCGACGATCACGTGCAACCGACGGTATAACATCTCATCAGCGTGCGGCTCATCCCGCGTATTGATAATTGGACGCGCCACCATTGTGCTCAATCCGACTTCAGTCTCAAAAAAATCTGCACGCTGGGAGATTTGATAATCCGTTTCCGCTGCGCCATTTTCAGCACCAACCTTACCACTCCCTGTGATAGGCTGCCGCGTCACGAGAAAAGGCGTTAATCCATCAACGATATCTTGGAAGGGGACATTCCGCGACATCAGATAATTTTCGTGGGCACCGTAGCTGTGACCTTTATAATCGCTGTTGTTCTTATAGATAAGAATCTCTTGATTTGTGGGCAACAGCTCTTGGGCAGCCAGACGGCTCAAATCTAATATCAGTTCCCCCGCCTTCTCATATTTGACCAGATCGCGTGCATTGGTGCATTCCGGGGTACAATACTCTGGGTGCGCATGATCGACATAGTACCGTCCGCCATTGGTGAGGACATCGTTGATGAGACTATTATTCTCCTGATCTGGGATGTCCGTTTCCCCTTCAGAAACGAATCCCCTAGCGTCCATGAACGGACTTTCCTGATCATAGTCCCAAGTGATCCCCTTGATCCCACGGTCTTTATAGATATTGACGACAAGCGTTGATGCCGCAACCGGATCCGGATCTCGCGCATTTTTGACCGAAATGCCATATTCGGTTTCGGTCCCCATAATCGTTGGTACGGTCATAATCTGTCTTAGAGGTAAGCGCCACCTTTGACGGTTTTCACATCCCGTCTTTTCGGCTCTTGCTCGTGGGTCAACGCCTTAATGTTGACGATTCGATCACCTTTCCGTCCCGATATCTTCGCCCAATCGTCGGGATTGGTGGTGTTAGGCAGATCTTCGTTCTCTTTATATTCTTCTTGGATCGCCATATCAAGGTCATCAAAGGTAATGCCCTTCTCTTTCCCTTCAGAATCAATCAGTCGTTTGATCGCCATCTTCTTGGCACGATCAACAATGTTTTCAATCATCGCACCACTTGCAAAATCCTTGAAGTAAAGGGTCTCACGTTCCCCACGATTGTAAGTAACCTCGATGAATTTGTTTTCATCGGTGGTCGCATACATCCTCTCAATCGCCCGTTCCACGAGAGACTCAGCCGCTTTTTCTCGATCGCCATCAAACTGTTCCAACACTGAAGGGGCAATCGGCAGGCCAGGTGTCAGGTATATGGCAAAAATATCCTTGGCACCGTCAGCTTCGGGGCGATCGATCTTGATCTTGATGTCCAATCGACCGGGACGCAAAACGGCGGGGTCTAGGAGATCTTGGCGGTTGCTTGCACCAATCACAACCACATCTCTGAGCCCTTCGACACCGTCGATCTCAGCGAGGAATTGGGGCACAACCGTTGACTCCATATCGGACGAAATGCCCATGCCTCTGGATCGGAAAAGCGAGTCCATTTCATCAAAGAAGATAATGACAGGAACCCCTTCTTTGGATTTGTCCTTGGCTTTCTGGAAGACTTCTCGAATCTTTCGCTCCGTTTCGCCAACATACTTATTGAGTAGCTCTGGACCCTTGATATTGATAAAATAACTTTCAACATCATCTCTACCTGTCTGTTCTCTGACCCTAGCAGCCAAACTGTTGGCGACTGCCTTGGCAATTAACGTTTTTCCGCAGCCGGGGGGACCGTAGAGCAGCACACCTTTCGGAGGCTTTAACTGGAACTCCTTGTATTCATTGGGATAGAGGTAAGGCGTTTCAATAGCGTCCCGAATCGCCTCAATCTGTTCATTCAATCCACCAATATCCGAGTATTTGATGTCTGGCACCTCTTCGAGCAGCAGGTCTTCAATTTCAAGTTTGGGTAGTTTCTCCATAACCATCCCGGTGATGGGTTCAGCATAACATTATCCCCAAACTTAAGTTCCTCCTCCTTACTGATCGGATCTGATATTTCCACAACCCGTTCTTCATCGGCGCGCAGATTCACAAGCACACGGTTATCGTCAAGCATCTCCTTGACCTTGACCACTTCACCTTGCCGCTCAAATTCCCTAACACTCACAACGTTCATCACACCGTTGACGATGACCTCTTGACCTTTTTGGAGCTGATCAGCGTTAATCTCCGGGTCCGCATTGACGCGCCACCGTTTGCCCCCAAGGTCAATGTCAAGAGTGCGTCATCGTTTGATTGAAGATAAACGCCGTAGTTATTCGGTGGGGCACTGAGTTGTTCAACCTTCTCTTTCAGCTGTTCAGCTTCTCTTTCGCTTCTTGAAGGGTGCTGGTCAACTTCCGATTCTACGGTGTGCGTGCATTAAGTCGCGGGTCATTTCGTAGAGGCGAACTTCAACATCGTCGGAAGGTGCAGCGTTTAAGCGCCTTCTCAAATCATCAATTTCGCTCTCCAACGACTCGATAGTGAATGTTAGCTCGCGAATCTTTCTCTCGTAAGAAATCCGCTCGGAGGAGGGTGCAGATAGATTCTCCTGATCCTGCACTTCTTCAAAGGAACTTCCTGGATCTTTCTTTTCGGATGGATTCTTGATGGTAGCCATAGTAACCTTACCTCGGTATATATCTTTAGAATTACGGGATGGTTCCTATCAATATACTGGTGAGAAATAGTACACCATCTCGTCTTATTATTTCCCAAAGGATTTTACTTCTAAGATCTCAATCCGTAACCGATAATTCCTCCGGGTTTGAGTCAATCAACTTCTATCACAATCTCGCTCCCGGTCGTCACCATACTGCTCAAGAATAGGGTAGATTATAGCATTCGGCTATAAGGGTGTCAAGTAAAATACTGCCATATCAAGGTCAAACGTGAGTTCAAGCCTTTATTAGACCTGAATCTTACCCCTCTGTGTTGAATACTTCATGCAGAAACTGAATCGATTGGGACACTTCCTTATCAAAATCCCTAAAGTTGCATTCCACAGAGACCCGTTTGTTGTATCCGGCATCAGCAAGGCTTCTGGCAAAAAGCTGATAATCGTATTTGCCGCTGCCCGGATAGAGCCGATCGGTGTCTGCGACATGCACATGTGCAATCCGCTCCCCCGCGTGGACAATCTCATCGAACCCCTCTCCCTCAAGCATCTGGTGATAAAAGTCAACTAGCACTTGGACTTCCGGTCGCCTAAGTTCATCAGTAAACAGTACCGCCTCGGCGATACTGTTAATCACGTTTGTCTCTGAACGGTTCAAGGGTTCTATGGCGATGACAAGCCCGTGTTCCCTTGCATAATTCGCGGCAGTCTCACAAGAACCTCAAGGATCTGATCGTGCGCCCGCTTGCGAGAGAAACCGTCCGGCACATGACGCGCGCGCCGCCACTCCGAACACAATAATCTCACCGTTACTTCAGACGCCGTCAGTAGCGGCAGCCAAGTAGTTGTCCAGCCGGACCTTGTCAACATCTGGTCCGTCACCTTTAAGTCGGCAGGGATAAAGCTATTAAAGCATTCGCCCGAAGGGGGTCATCGGATACCAGATCCTTGATCCCTCAAAGAGGGATTTTGGGGAGTCAGGGCAGAGCATTCCCACACCGAACTCGAAAAAATCACACCCAGCATCTGACAAGGTTTTAAGGGTCGCCGGTGCTTCTCACATTCGCTTGTAGATGGCCTGTGTCCACTGCTGGCATCAACCGTTGTGGAACAAGAGCAAGTCTGCATCACAGCAGCTAGTTTCATGGGTGGTCTCCTTTATCACACAGTTTTCCCAATAAGGGATCCCACATTTCCATACGCAACCCGCGTTCCTTGTAGTGATCGGATTGGGAACAGGCACACGCTCCTCACAGCTAAGCGACGCATCGAGCGCAGCCTCCTCCGGATGGTGGTCCAATGGCGATTTTGGTCGATAGCTACGCGCTGATGAGAACTTGAGCATGTAGCGGTCTTCGATGCCACGATTCGCGGCTGCGGCGTGCCAGATGTCGTAGTGCGTGAATCGCTACCGTCCCGCCTTGACGTGAGGGAATCTGCTCACGGAAATTGCAGTATGTCGCCATGCGATCGGTCGCGGCATTACTGGAAGTGGGTTCCGGCAATAATCAACCGTCGTCCCGATTTCTTGTCAGAGACCATCTTGGGGATAGATCCGCAGCGACCAAGACAGCCACGGATTCTACGAGCAACTCTACGCCAAACTGTATTGGATGGCGATGATGCCGTTTGTTTCGTGTGCCATGCTTGCATGCATCCTGAGCTCCGTGTGCGGCCGTGTTTACATGACAGTGCCGGTGACCGTGCCTTCATCTGCGACATCATCACGCTCAGAAGCTCACCACGCGCCGCGCACCTTTGGGATGTCGTAGACCTGATAGAGCTTCGCGGACTTTGCCAGGAATCCATCGCCCGCTATGTATTCCGACATGGATATCTCACAGCCGTCAAGTCCTCGCTAAATTGCGCATCTGCGTTGAAGCCTTCGGGAAATCTGCTCACATATGGCGAACCATGATATGATAAAAGAGATGATTTCGTGCGTCGTCTCAATAGATACGGTTTGTCAGCCATTGTAAGCCTCCAATTTTTGTAGGATAAATTCGTAGCCTAAGATGTCAATTTCCCGGTCATCAAATTCTGTCCGCTGATTCGGAAAGTGGATGACCTGCCAGCCGTCCAGAATCGCGTCGTGTACTGTGTTATAGGGCCATTCTTGCTCCACCGTTACAATCTCCGTCACCGATTCCTGCACCGGTTCGTGCAACGCCATCCCGATGACCTGAGAGCGGATGCCTGGCGTCGCGGCATGGAGATAGAGTAGCCATTGTCGCGTATGCACCCGGTTTGTGTTGATGATCTGATAGAGCTGATCCAGATCCCCCTTCTGAAGCCCACCATCTTTTAGCTTGGTGCGTGCCTCGTCAATCCATGTGTAAATTGCTTCAAAAGCGGTTGGCATAATTTCTCCTTGATGCTCACCAAACTCAAGCGTTGGTATTCGGCATAGAATCAAAGCCGATCAGCCGCTTCAACGTCGGCGTCGCACGGGCGACAACCGCCCTCGAAACGATTTTCTGCTGATCTTGCTGCGGCTTCATAAAGGCACGGCAGAAGAAACCGAGCAAGCAGACACGAGCGCGATCGGTGTGGTTCGCGGATGAGGCGTGCCACAGGGATCCGTTGATAATCATCACAGACCCTTCGGGCCGGTGATCTGCAGTTCATCGTCATAACTGACACCCGGTTCAGGACGGGATTCAAGTCGGCGGTGACTGCCGGGGACACAACGGGTGCCCGCCGTTCTCAAGCGTAAAATCATCAAGGAACCAGACGCTATTGGCAGAAAGGGCAAACTCGGACGGGGCGGTCGGCATCCCACTCAAGGGGTGATCAATGTGAAGCCCTCCATCCGGCGCACCGGGTCCGATAATGTTCACAGTGAACGAACTGAGCGTACAGTCCTCACCGAGTAGATACTCTATCCCCGTTGAGCATACGTGGATACTGGATTGCGTTTTCAAACAACTCGTCTTTGTCCACCAGATTCCAAACCCGTTGCGCTTTGTCATCCAGATACACATGCTCCCCTAACACCTCTCGCTCCTGCTCGGCGAGAGCCATCGATCGCTCACGCAGTGCGTCCGCTTGAGCAGTTGTGATAGCATTCTCCAAAAGTACAAAACCGTGTTCATCAAGGTGGGCTTTTTCTGCATCTGTAAGCATCAATATCTCCTTATATCACGTTTCACACATCATGTCCTTTCGCTTCAAGGTTGATGATCTGTATTTACCGGCGGTTCATCGTTACCCATAAAACGCTCAATTGTGTTAATGGTTGCAGGAGACGTTCGGAAGTCAGCAACCCACGGTTCACGGAAATAAGCCTGCTTTTCTCGTGGCAAACTTGCCATCACTTCGGGCGGAATCTTCAACCGATGCCAATGGGTGGCAAGATGCGCATACGCATGGAGAATCGCAACACGCGGCGTATCTCGCTTCCAGATGGGTCCCGCATGACAGAGGTTCTCCGTAAAAAAGATGGCACTGCCAGCAGGGCATTCGTAACGCACCAAAAACTCGCTCTCTTTCCCGTCCTCCCACGACATATGATCCGGGTGCATCGGGAAGTTTGCCTTGTGGCTGCCAGCGATGAAGCAGGTCGCACCATCCTCTTTCTTCACATCGGTCAGTTCAAAGACAACCCGCACCATCCCCGCGTGAATCCGATCATTCTGGACACGATAGCCGAAGATGGGATCCCCCCTGTCCCCGCCCACCGCCGTGCAGTTCACCGTGCGATTCCCCCTTCAATCGCCAAGTCAATCCACAAGCCTCCAGTCGGACATCGGGACCGATGATTTCGTGCAGCACCTCAATTACTTTTGGGTGATTGATCAACAAACTTGCGGCACCTCCCGGAATTGCTCGATGCTCCGGCGGCAGGGACTCCGGATTGTGTCGAATCCGGTCGGCTTGGTCAACGATTGCAGCAACTTCATCGGGCGTCAAGATTGCCGGACGGACTAAAAAACCGGCTAAATCAAACCGGAAACGTTCCTCTTCGGTCATTGCCATATCACTTCCTCCATATGTCAGATTCAGGGACGGCGATCGGTATTCACCGATGGTTCATCATTGTTGATAAAACGTTCCATTGTATTATGAGTCGCTGGACGGGTACGGAAATCAGCGATCCACGGCTCACGGAAATATGCTTGCTTTTCTCGTGGCAGTCCGGCAATCACTTCAGGTGGAATCGTCAGTCGATGCCAATGGGTTGCAAGATGGGCGTAAGCGTTGAGCACCGTTACGCGCGGTTCTTCCCGTTGCCACACGGGTCCGGCGTGACAAAGGTTTTCCGTGAAAAAGACCGCACTACCGGCTGGGCAGTCGTAGCTCATCAAGAACGGGCTCTGCTTTCCCGGTTCCAACGACATATGATCCGGGTGCATCGGGAAATTCGCCTTGTGGCTGCCGACAATGAAATGGGTCCCGCCATCCTCCTTGCCGACATCGGTCAGTTCAAAGACAACGCGCACCATCCCTGCGTGAATTCGCCCGTACCGGACACGGTAGCCAAAGATAGGGTCTGCCTGTTGGGGTCCACCACCATGAAGATCGCCATGCGCCTCCCCTTTCCGACGCCAGACACAGTAGCTATTCTCAAGCCGAATATCGGGACCGATAATTTCGTGCAGTACGTCAATGACCCTTCGGTGATCGATTAACACACTTGACGGGCCACTCGGCACAGCGCGATGTTCTGGAGGCAATGATTCCGCATCGTGCCTGATATGGTATATCTGATCTCTAATCGCAGCAATCTCCTCCGGGGTAAGGATAGCCGGGCGTATCAGAAAACCGGTTAAATCGAAACGGAAACGTTCCTCTTCAGTCAACCCCATAGTTCTCTCCTCCATGTAAATCAGTTGATACGTTAATCAGCATCTCAATCTCGGTGATGAGGGTTTCTAGTTCACGAATAGCTCGCTGCATCCCGTTCTTATCGAAGGGTCCCTCAAGGAGTTTGGTGTATCTCTCAAGAAAATTGGGAGGTAATAGACTCAACTTTTCGTACTGCAACCTCAGACCGTTTGACCGCTGGATCATATTTTTCATTAACAGCGAACAAAAGTATGTGAAGTGCATCACGCATTCTGTGAAAAAAGAAATGGAAAAATGTAAGACCAAACCCTCTCTTGACCCCGTCTTTAAGTTCCGCAAGACAATCTTTCAGAGTATGCAGACTGTCTGAAATCAACCGCTGCTTGAGCTGCACCGGATAAGGATAGAGACAATCGATAAGATACCTCAAGCATGAGCAGGGATCGTATAGAATGATTCCTTCTCCAAAAGCCCAAGCATCGTATAGGGACGGAATTTTTGTTCAGGAATAGATATCGCACCCTCCTGTGTAACTCGCCTGACAACGGTTCTAATCCAGTCCATCGTGTTGTACGAAATTTCAAACAGATCCTCGTTCACACGGAAAGAATCGCTTTGTGGAGACCACTGGGAGTCCCACCCCACGGCGGTGTCACTCTCCTCAAAGTGGCTTATACCTTGAATGCTCTCTAAGACTTGCCGCCTCTCCGCCGCCGAAACAACCTCAGGTTCACAAACACGAAAAGATCCAGATCCGAGTATTCATCAAACGTGCCCATCGCATACGAACCGAAGCAGAAGATAGCCTGCACATCTTCCAACCTTGCGAGGCTCTCGACGACAGGGGCAGTTTTGTTGTGGACGAGATCGATTGGTTTCATTTTCCATTTATAGCGTCCCTCTTACCCTTCGGTGTAGGGACGGAAGCCGCGAATCATCAACCCACGCTGTTCATTCGTTTTCTTCGCTTCGGCAGCACGTTTCTCCGCTTCTGCGCGATTTGCGGTGGTGGTCCCACCAATAACAACGTAATCGTCCACCCGCCGGTAACGGTTAATGAACACCGGGCGCGGCTTGTCCGAGTGATTCTGCTTGGAACCGTGAATCATCTTGACGTGGAAAAAGATGGAGTCCCCCGCTTCACCAACGATCGGCAGCGCTCGCTCCCAGGGCCATTCATCATCATCTAAGCCGAGATGCGAAAAGGTATCAATATGTTTGAGTTGACCGAGCCGGTGTGAGCCGGGGACGACGTGCAGCGCACCATTTACCAAATCGTATCCACCACATAGTTCAGAATCCCACAGGACCCTCGTAGCGGTGTTCAAAATAGGCGGAGTCCTGATGCAGATGTTTCGGATGCCCGCCGACCGGCTCTTTATAAAGGCACTGTCCATTGCCGTAAACCTCGACATTCTGCCCCAGAACCGCCTCAACGATATCCAACGCACGTTCATCAAGCGCGGAGCGGAAAAACGCAGCACTGGTAAAGTAGTTGATTGCCAAGACCATGATCTGTTTATCACGGGAGTAGCCGGACGGTGCGGGCAGAAACAGGGTCCCGTTTGGCGTTCGCCAACCCTCCACAATTTTCTCCACAGAATCAAGCGAAGCGATTGACTCAGCGGCAGCCGCCTCAATGTCTCGGTGGATCTCATCAATGTACGGTTTCATTAACCCACGGACGACAAGCGCGCCGTGCTTCTTAAATGCTTCTGCAGCCGCTTGGGGGTTTAGGTTGTCTGCAAATACCTCAATATCTTCAACTGTTACAGTCGAGTCTGTTGCCATAGGTGAATCTCCATATTGAAACGAGGATACTATTATCAGGTCAAGAGCATAGCACACCCATCTCAATTTGTCAAAATTCCGATCTCTTTTTGAGAACTTCAAATAGGTAGGACGTTTTCCGATATTATACCAATTCCGCATTGAGATGTGTTACAAATTTTCCCTCGCCAAAAAAGCGTTGCTTTTTAACTGACTTTGTGGCATTTTAATCACTCCGGATGTATTTGGCTGATTCATTATCCGTTTGTCCGAAGAAAGGAACCTCTTATTGATTATCGAAGCAATCCATAGAACAATTGACAATTTGTTTAATCGAGGAAGCAAAGCACAGGACAATGCCCCAGATAACCTTTTAGATCCACGCCTAGCGTTGAAAACACATTTCGGATATGACGACTTCCGCGAAGGGCAGCGTGAGGTAGTTGAGAAACTTCTATCCGGTAAGAGTCTGCTCGGCGCGTTTCCAACCGCGTTTGGTAAATCCATCTGTTATCAGTTGCCGGGTCTGATGTTACCGGGGCTTACGGTGATTATTTCGCCGTTAATCTCGTTGATGAAAGATCAGGTGGATACCTTGCGAGAGAAGGGAATTAACTCCATAGGCTTACTGAATAGCAGCTTGACCCTTGAAGAATATCAACAGGAATTGAAACGATTAGTGGACGGTGAAGTTAAGCTGTTGTATGTGTCGCCAGAACGGTTTCGGAGCCGTCGATTCCTAAATACCTTAAAATCCCATAAGATTTCGCTGTTCGTGGTTGATGAGGCACACTGCATCTCTCAGTGGGGACACGATTTCCGACCGGACTATCTCGCGCTTCGGACTGCTATCCAAGGGGTGAAGCCCTATTCAGTCGCGCTGTTCACAGCGACCGCAACGCCGGAGGTGCGGGAGGACATCGTAAACCAACTCCAAGTCGAGAAGTGCGAAACCTTAATCCAGAGCGTGGAGCGTCCCAACCTAAAGTTCAGTGTCTGCGAGGTGCCGGGCGAACCGGAGAAGTATCAGTTACTTACAAAACAGTTGGAACAGCTCACCGGGAAAGGAATTGTGTATGCCGGCACTCGGCGGCAGACTGAGGAGAGTTGCGGAACATCTCAAGAAAGCAGGGATACCGGGTGCGATTTCTATCATGGTGCTAGCGAGGAATCGGAACGGACGCGAGTGCAAGATGCGTTTTTCGACGATACAGCAGCGGGGATCGAAATCGTGGTTGCGACTAACGCATTCGGGATGGGGATTGATAAGCCCGATATCCGATATGTTATCCATTGGACAATCGCGGGTTCGCTTGAACATTACTATCAGGAAGCGGGACGCGCGGGGCGGGATGGTAAGGATTCAGAGTGTATCCTGTTCTTCTGTTCAGGCGACCGGCGTCTGCACGAACATTTTATGGAGGAGAGTGCACCGAACAAGCCAGACCTCTTAAAGCTGCTAAAACGGATCGAGGACTCGCCATCGGTCAACAAGTTCCGGTTGGTCAAAGTGCAGGCGATGGAATCCGTAAGCGAAATTGATGAGAGCAAAATTCGGGTGGGGATTAGTTATCTCGAAAAACTCGGTTTCCTCCAAAGGATGTATAATATTCCATCGAGTATATCCGTGAATCTTATCAAGGATTCAAACGGCGAGTCGAGGGTACTGGACAACTTACAAGATCGGTCAGAAATCCAACTCATAGATTTCTGCCGAGAATATAACTTATATCCGAATGAATTGATAGAGGAGTTGACCGACCTGCAAAGCGATGGGCATCTAAGATACTCCGGGGCAGAGGATACGATGCTAATTGAGTTGTATCATGGGAGCAAACTGTTTGAGAATATCACTGAGGAGAAGATAGGGGAGAAGCAGTATATCCAAAACAAGCGATATCAACTCGACCAGATGATTCTCTATGCGAGAACGGATCAGTGCCGCGGTCAGGTGGTACGCCAGTATTTCGGGGAACGTGTTGATAGCGATTATCGCTGCAACATCTGTGACATTTGCGATCCAAGCCTCCTCAGTGTCTACAATTCGCTTATTGAAGAAGTTACCAGTGGTGGACATCAGAGCGTGGCACCCTAGAGTCAGTCAAAGGCATTGTACTGGAATGGCACGGCTTAGGTGAACGAGTAGCGAGTCAATGAATTTGTACAACAAAGCCCCTCTACCTCAAACACACACCGTACCCTGTAGGCAGGGCATCTTGCCGCGCTAGGGCATTGCCCGCTAGACAGATGGTCATCGGTCAAGTGCTAGAAAAGCATTGATGTTTGAGCTAATTTTTGATATTTTATCGCCAGACGTAGTTGGGCAATTCATCGCCCATCCTTTCAAAACACACAATGAATTGTGCGACTACTTACCTTGACCGTAACGGAGATAAACTTATGAAGCTACAAATCCTTCGTTTCACCCTTTGTTTGTTGATGTGCCTTACCCTTCCGCTGACTGCAATGGCACAAATCATAAATATTCCTGAACCTGTTCCGCCCCCGTACTGTCCGTGATGCTTTTGACCTAGATCCGTTTTATCAACAGTGGATTGACTGTGGAAGGATTGCCTGTCGTGGCATCGGCAAAGGTCAATCCTTATGCTGTAAAGGAGGCAGCATGGCTCATTGAGAAGATGATCGGACACCGAGCGGATGTGTTGCGAACTATGGCAGGAAACAAGGCTCGTTTTTCTGTAATAGCTCATACCGAGATAATTACAGAGATTCCGGAGTATCGAGGCGATCCCTGCCCTGATTTTCTTGTATTCCGGCAACGGGGTTGGGGTGGCAGCGAAGGAGCAACAATAAGTTCTTCTGAGGAGAGCATTCTTGGCTATCCAGGTGTCCACGGTAGATACAACACCGTGATTCATGAGTTTGCACATGGCATACACTTTCTTGGCTTGAAAACGCTTGATCCAACATTTGATGAGCGGCTCAAGGCGACTTATGAGACAGCAAGGGCAAAAGGGTTATGGCAAGGGACTTATGCTTCTTCAGATAGAAGGGAGTATTGGGCTGACGGAACGATTGCTTGGTTTAACCCGAATAGTCATGCTAGTTTCTATCACTTTGGTAATACACGGCAGGCATTGAAAGCGTATGATCCAGCTGGCGGCATTACTTACCGAAGTCTATGGCGATTATCAATGGCGGTATACTCCCGTCACAAATCGTCTTCATTTGCCACATCTTCAAGGGATGAATCCGCAGTCGTTTCCTACCTTTGAGAATTGGACCGAGTTGGAGACACTCTATCGACAATTGAATAAACCATACAGCGATGGCGGTGGTGCGTGGGTAAATTTGGAGCGATATGATCCGCAACGGCTTGCGAGTCTGACTAAATCAAATGTTGTTGGGGCTGCCACTTGTGTCATCTTTGTGAACCTATCTAGAGATGATGTTTTACTGTATGGCGTCCATTCTGATGGCACAGAAGGATACTGGACACAGGTTCCTCCCGATTTCATTAGAGCAACGTCTAGTAGAATAAACGAGCTGTGGGTTATCAAAGACTCTCATGGCAAAAACCTTGCTGTATTTCAAGCTGAGGAAAAACGGGACGGGCTTATTCCAACCGATATTGCTGCGCCGTACGTCGCAAGTTGTGTCAATCCCATCTGCGCCCTTCGTGCTGCAATTAAGACAGTGCTCGCAAATCGTCCGGTGCCATTATCACCGCATCGGATATGGGGTATTTGACCCATCTTGATGCAGAAACGCCGGTATTACTGATTTAACTGGGCTTGAAAATGCAATCTATTACTGAGAGAATTGCATCTTGAACTCGGTCAAGACCCCTCTCACCCTGGCGGCTTTAACTAACTGACAGGACTGTATCTTCGGGGCAACTCACATCAGATCTCTCACCTTTGGTGGGATTAACCAACTTGGAATCACTGTTTCTTGACGTACGGAATATCGGATCTCTCACCTTTGGCAGGATTAACCAAATTGACACGGACTGCTCTTAAACAACAACTCGTCATCGGATCTTCTCTTGTGTGTGGATTAACCAATCTGAAGTGGATTGCGTCTTGCTGAACAAAGTTCGGACCTCGCTCACCCTAGTGTCTCAACACGGGGATGGGGAGTGGAGACACGGTTGATGTGTCGGGCGGGGAAACCCCTGAGTTATCTCTCCCGCCGCGCGTCATGTCGTCCACATTCCCGCGCTCCAGAGCCGGGGGGTTGATGTCCAGTTTGACGCCGGCGCACACGCAGCGCCGGATGTCAACATGCCGGAGCGTGAATTATCTTGGCATCTGATCTTGATTGCGTCGATCTCGGGAATGAAGGCAGAAATCTCGCATCGGATGTTAGGCGAGAATTGGATTTTGTCAGCATCTGGATCTGGTATGGCTGTCGGCTGTTTGTGAGGTGCGGCAGCAAGCGCACCGTCAGCACACGCACAAGTACCTGAAACACTCAACAGTCGGTAGAAGTTCAGGGTGGCTGACCGCGCAAGGGCACTGTGTGTTAGGAATCCCATCATGAAACGCGGATTTGTGGTGCTTGAACAGCTGCTAGTAGTCCCTAACACCAAGGGAGACGGACTGTTAGCAAACTACCAAATCCCTTTAACCCAGAGACATGGATACCGTATCGGCTGGCGGAGGATGCTTTTGTCGTCTTGACCATCTATGACAGTAGTGGTCAGGTTGTCCGTACACTCGACGTTGGGCATCGGATCGCATCGGCTTACGAGAATCGGTCGAAGGCGTCTATTGGGATGGCAAAACGGGTTGGTGAGGGGGTGGCAAGTGGTGTTTACTTTACCACACTGTCCACCGGTGAGTATTTTGCCACGAGACGCATGGTCATTTTGAAATAGAGAGGGTGAATCCCCTCCTATCATTGTCCGTTCGGGCGCGCAATGAATTATGCTGCTACTTACCTTAACCGTAAGGGAGAGAATTTATGAAAAAACAAATTCTTCGTTTCATCTTGTATGTGATAATGGTCTATCTCACCGGCGCACTCAAAACAGCGGTTGCCGATTTGAATGTCGGTGAACCACACACGGTACGGTTGATCTACTTTCTCCCAAGCGATCGCTCTCCCCAGCGAGACATAGACACAAAGTTGGATACGCTGATCGGAGATGTCCAACAGTTTTACGCCGATGAGATGCAACGCCACGGCTTGGGAGGGAAAACCTTCACCTTTGAAACAGATGCGACCGGAAAGGTTGTAGCGCATCATGTAGATGGTCAATTCACTGATTCATATTATCGTCAGGATACTTTTCACAAAGTCTGGGAAGAAATCCGTGAACAGTTTTACACACCGCAGAATATCTACTTTATTGCGATAGATATCAGTAACGAACGCGTGGTGCGTGGTTATTAAACTGAATGTGCGTGTGTAGGGGAGGGCTCCCATGGAGCACGTGGATGGCCATGAGTCCTCATCCCTCCCTGCCTCGTGAACTGTTTTAAAATACGCTCAACCGGCTGCGCTCTCACTCCGACACGCTTTTGGATTACAACACGATTTTCGTGACGATGCCTACATCATGTCTTTGGGAAGAGACCCAAACCAACTGTCTGAATGCGCTGTTGAATGGTTGGATGCCCATCGCTATTTCAACACCGGTCAAAGTCAAACCCACTTTGATAATTCCAAGATTCAGATGCTTTCCCCATTGGCATCTCCACCGTAATGCTATCGTCTCCGCGTTGGTAGGTAACGCGATTCGGCCGGCGTCCACCAAGCACAGCTATTACATCACAGCTGCTAGTAGAAACAGAGCTAGGGCAACACAAATTGTCTTAGCTGCAACGCATTAACGGCAAACCGCCACGATATAGATGAGTTTATCACAAGCCATTACCGTGAACAGCGTCAAGTACCCTTAGCGTTATTGATGCGTATGGAAATGTCACATCGCAGATGTATCCCATTGATAGTACTACC